GGGGGGGGGGGGGGGGGGGGGGGGGGTGGAGTGGAAAATGGTCTGTTCTAAGGAGTAGCTGAATGTTGGGTTGGATTTTTCTACATTCAATTTTCGAAAGACTAATACGTTCCATTCAAGGTTCTATACGAAAGGGACGGTGAGTTCGTGGCACAATTCAAGGCCACAGTATTGGTGATGCCGAACGGACTGCTCAAAATCACGGGATTACCACTCGATACGAGCTGTATTCAGTGTGATGTCACCATTGAAGACCCTTCCGTAGGATTTTTTCATTTGCGATATTTTCGCTTTTGCCCTATTTTGCCAAACATTCCTTTGGCTTGATAGAAACCTTCAGATGATCTGTGATGAGTCTGTAATGTTTGCAAATTGGCTTTATTGGTTACTGATGGTTTTATATTCAGGTAACTTCGTTGTTGAATTCATCGTTGAAACCAAAGAAATCGAAGAAAAAAACTGAAAATGCCGACAAGAAGGATGCGGCAGCAGAAGCCGGTGATAACTGTGGAGACAAGAAAGAAGTAGAACAAAAGGCAACCGAAGTGAAATCGAAAGTGTGAACGTGAGTGCTGTGAGTGGAATGTGGCCGCGTCCTGCCTGTCCCAGGTTGTGTACTGCTCCGTTGGTGTTACCGTTATATGTGATTTTATATGTTTAATTGAAATGCCTCATTGTTTGGTCATTAGCATTGATGTTTGCAAATGCATATCCGATTTTGATATACATTTTATGTGATCAGTTCGAATTTGTTCTATACGAATAACCTCATAACGATCTTCCAACGATTTTTGTAAAAGCAGGAAAATATTCAAAATGGAAAGTTAAGTGAAGATAATATATATTCAAAAGGATGTATGATGCAGAAATTATGTGATGATACGATAAATAACGTTTTTTTTCATTCTGCTGATAATGTTTATCAGTTGTAAACGTTTGAATGGGGTGTCACTTTTCACAGATGAATTGAATCGTCACTATGAGTTGTTCATTAAAGTCATAGCAATGAGTTGTTTTAAAAGGGCAACTTATTTTGTGACGTTTAGTAGGATTATGTTTTTTATTTGTTGTTTATATAAAACGGTTGACGCTGCGCACAAACATGGCATGGTACTGTTTTGTTTTATTGACGATAATGAAACGAAAATGTTCAATTTAAAAACGCAATGCAGTTTTACCGCATGCAATTGTTGACGAATTTATTTTATTCACATAAACTGTTTTGTTATAATATTATATTGGTGAATAAATGGTTTTATTCTTTGTTGTATTGCCTTCGACATATTTAATTAAGATTCAAGCGATTGGTTCAAACAGATTCAAAGTTCTAACCGAATGATGGTGTGCCCCCAATGCCGAGTTAAAAAAAAATAAAATCAGTAATATTTAGTTGACGAAAAGCAACAATTACGTATATGTATATAGGTATGTATCCGTGAGTAATGATCCGCGTGGATGGTAGTTGAAGTATTGC